CTTGTATTATTGTTGATTCAGTTGATTTTCTTTTATCAATTATTACTTTGCTTTGTGAATAAATCTTTTCTTCTTCTTTAGAAAGTTGAATATACTTAGTTTCTTTTTCTTGTTTTTCTTGTTTTTCTAGTTCTTCAAGTATTTTGTCAGTAGTTTTAAATATATAACAAGATTCGTCTTCTTTGTCTAGGCAATATCTTTCGTTAGACATTTGCTATAGGAGTTATTGTATTGGTAACAATTTCTCCTTGTCAAAGTGTATTGTTAATATAGTTATCTGCGATATTAGTTTTCTTCTTAATTCTAGCTTGGTATTTTATAAATATTATTACTCCAGCAATTATTGTAATTGCTATTACTGTGATTATATCTTGGTTTATAACATTGGTATTGTTAAAGTAGTTTGGTGTTTCAGTTTGAATTGCTATTTGGGTTCCAATTATGGTTTTGATGATTGTAGTTGGTGTTGCTGTAATTATTTCTGTGATTATTACTGTAGGTATATTAATAGTAAATAGTTTGAATTGTTGTCCTTCAACTAGTATTGTTAATAATAAGATTAACAATAATAGTTTTATTTAGTTTCTTCTGTTATCTCTAAATAATGTGAATATTTTGTTGGAGTTAGGTTTTAAATAATTATCTTGGGGTTGATATATTGCATTTCTTCTTTGTGTATTATATCTATTTCTTCTTTGTTTTCTTTTCTTGTTAAAGATACAAAATATTTAAAGTTATAAGGTTGAGAAATCAAATAGTGTAGTTTCTTGTTATTGTTGGATTTCTAGTATTCGCAGTGGTTGATTATTTTGGTAGTTTTGAATCCTTTTTGTAATAAATTCTTGATTTTGTTGATGGTTTCTTTGATGTAGTTTCTTTTTATAACAGGCTTTGTAAATAATTACTGAGATAATTATTGATATTATTACAAATATTCCTATGATAGTTGCAGTTATTATTATAGTAGTTGTGGTGTTGAGTTGAGGTATTGGTGTTTCAGTAGTTGTCATTGAATTAACAACAGCCAGATGTTTGATCTTGTTGATAGTATGCTATGTTTGGATATTGTTTATATAGATGTTTCTTATCACGTTGTTGTATACAGCAAATAATAATTATGGTAAGTATTCACAATAATATTGTGAATATCAAGATTAACAGTATTGTTGATGCGGATGGTTGGAGTATAGAATTGTTGCAGATTATTATACTTGGATTTTCAGTTTGGATTGTTGTTATTAATTGGTTTCAAAATGGTGAATAATACTATTCCTATTCTAGATATTACTGTTATGGCTAGTATTACAATTGCTATAGTGGTTTGTACATTTGTAGGTTCTTTAAGAAGAATGATGGTAAGAATAATTCCTAAAATAAATGATATTATTGTGATTATTGCAAATTGTTTTCGTGTTGGTATCATTCAATAATTTTAATGATTTTCTTGGCTAGACGATTCGTATTTGTACCAATCGTCACTACTTGAATATTCTGATTGTAAAGGAGTTTGAACTCGTTTGAATTTTCTTTTTCTGTTTAGTTTCGTAGGCAATCCTGTTCCTATGCTGTTAAATTGGCATTGCTTTATATTTCTGGCTAATTGATCTATTTCCTGTTGTGATAGATTACTTCGGGTGGTCTTACAAATAGTGTTGGTTCTGGTAATGTCATAGGTATTTCTGTTGGTCTTGAAATAGGTAATTCTTTATTCTTATTGTTATTGTTTCTTCATTTTCTTTTGATTCTTCTAATGCAGAGGATAATTACTGTTATGATAGTAGATATTATAGTTAATATAGTTCCTGATATTTCAATTATTATAAGAAGATTATTGTTAGAGTTATTGGTGTCTGGTATTGCAATATTAGTTATAGATGTTTTTGTTTTAGTTGGGTTTGGAATTGTTGAGCTTGGCGTTGGAGTGGTTACTGTAGTTGTTGATGTTACTAATATAGATGTCGGAGATAATACTATAATAGATATAGATATTACTATTTGGGATAATACATTTCTTAGATATATTGATACTATAAGTATGAAGATAAGTATTTTAATATTGATTTTCATGTAAAGTTTCTTCGTGTATAAAAGATTACTTGTATTATTATTATTCAATAGTATATATGTGTTCTAGGGTAGCTAATCCTATTATTCACAAGAAGTTCTAGTCTCTTTATTCACCTTCTTTATTATCGAATATAATTAAGATATTTCAATTAAGAATTCTTTATATGTTGTGTTATTATAAAGGTATGTTTATGTTTGAATCTTCAGATATTGATATAACAAACAAGCTCCTCGATATAGATGAAAGCAAAGCTAGTATGATAGAAGATCATACTGTATGGACAGAGGAACTATATAAAAGATTAACAGATCTCTGGAGGTCAGAAAGCAAAATATGGTCACTGAAAAAAAGAAATCTCGAAGAATCAGAAATTAGAAAA